GTCACATTCTAAGTCAATGAGCCACAACCCAGGCCCCTGTGCCACATCCTAAGCTAATGAGCCAAAACCCAGGCTCCTGTGCTACAGCCCATTTGTATACAGCATTCCATTAATGAAATTGTCAACCGTAATCACCAGATTGATCACAATCCTCACTGCTTCAATCATCAATAATGTTTTACACACATTCTATCATAGAGTAAGGTTCTATCTGCTATCAAACTGCTGTTTTACAGCTATATTCTATATTTGTACGTATCCCGATAGTGTAGCAAACTGCCCAGCTCTATTGCAGGTAACCAAGGTTACTCAGTTGGTTAGAACTGCCATTCAATAGTTTGGAGGTCTCGAGTCCAAATCCCAGTCTGGTCATGTTACGAATCTTCCCTCTCCCGTTACAATTATGTCTGTGACAAAACCTTTTTCCAAGTACGGTAGTGTGTTTGTGTATGCTTGGCATAAGGGAATACTGGATACCAGGTTCTAGGAACAGTTGTGTTTGGGGGCGAAGGGGGGTGGTGAAGGAGGGGTGAAGTGGAACTAGACTGATAGCGATGTTAACCTGCAGGTAGCTCCATTGGTTAGAGGCGCCATCTACATTTCTGAGGTTCTAGGTTTAATCCAGATCCCCAAGTTGCATTTTCTGCTTTCTTGTCACAAAACAAAACTTAAGCCAGTATGGTGTAGAGTGTGTTGCACAACTGTAAATGTATTCTTTGGCATTATCAAAATATTTGGCATGTATTACTCAAAATTGGATGGTTAAAATTTGATGTGGCCAATACTAAAATTGCTCCAGGCAGTACCACCGATTCTGATGCTGTAAATAGATCGGTGCATATCAACTCCTACAGATGTATTACTATTTCAAGTAATTTCTCCCCAACATTTATGATGCCATGAGCACTCCCCAACATTTATGATGCCATGAGCACTCTCCCCAACATTTATGATGCCATGAGCACTCTCCCCAACATTTATGATGCCATGAGCACCAATGTATCCAACTGGCCACATATGATGAGGACATTTTATTTTTTTAACATGGAAGAAAAATTGTAGGTTGATATAAGACAATGAATAATATTATAATAAGGAATACTATTTTGTATTTCATCTTTCCTGGTTAAACAAAAACTTTATCAATTGTTTACTGGTATCTATTGATACTATGTACCTGAATAACACTAATTTTTACTGTATTAAATATTAACATTTCTGCAAATCAACCGACTGAATAATGGATTAACATTCAAATACTAAAAAACACAAGACATATTGGGTCAAACTTTCGCTATATATAGATATCCACATACATATATGCTCCTGGAAATTATACGTCCGGACAGACAGTCTGAATAACATACAGAAGTCATAAATAGGTACTTAGTGATAATAGAAAAGGTAAGTGTTATGTCTTTGCAATATAGAAGTTATGGTGGCAAACTTTTGCAAAATATATTGTTGTTTAAAAATAAGTTCGAACACATTCACACCAAGCGATAAAAGAATACAACTCTGTACTTAATCACAGTCGTCACGTCCAGGATTTGTCTGTCCCAATGCATAAATGACAAAATAGCATGTACCACAACCATCACCATCTTCCTCTTGTCTGTCCCTCCTATCAAAGGTTTATACATAAAGGTGATGGGTATAAATGTCCTATGTATTACTGCTACAAACTCTTATAGGGTAATGGAAGGCTTCAAACAAACCGTACACCGATTCTACAAATAATGTCTGTCCACTCAATAAATACAAATAATGTCTGTCCAGTCAATAAATACAAATAATCTCTGTCCAGTCAATAAATACAAACAAGGACAAGGAGGATGCTGCTACCAATACTGCTCCAGGTCTGAGTGTCATCAATGATACAAGCGCCAAAGTATGAGCAAGCAGAATTCACCCTGACCAACCAGTATGACCTGTACAGTACGACGTGTAGGTATATACAACGGAACCACTAGTATGACGTGTAAGTATACACTCCTGAACCACCATACAGTATGACGTGTAAGTATATACACCTGTAACCTCCAGTATGACCTGTACAGTATGACCTGTATAACCTGTACAGTATGACCTGTACAGTATGACATATAAGTATATACACTCTAACCCCCAGTAAGACCTGTAAGTATACACACCTGAACCACCATATAGTATGACGTGTAAATATGACGTGTAAAGATATACACCTGAACCACCAGTATGACCTGTACAGTATGACATATAAGTATATACATCTGATTCCCCAGTATAACCTGTACAATATGACATATAAGTATATACACCTGATTCCCCAGTATGACCTGTACAGTATGATGTTTAAGTATATACACCTGATTCCCCAGTATGACCTGTACAGTATGATGTTTAAGTATATACACCTGATTCCCCAGTATGACCTGTACAGTATGATGTTTAAGTATATACACCTGATTCCCCAGTATGACCTGTACAGTATGATGTTTAAGTATATACACCTGATTCCCCAGTATGACCTGTACAGTATGATGTTTAAGTATATACACCTGATTCCCCAGTATGACCTGTACAGTATGATGTTTAAGTATATACACCTGAACCCCCAGTATGACCTGTACAGTATGATGTGTAAGTATATACACCTGAACCCCCAGTATGACCTGTACAGTATGACATGTAAGTATATACACCTGAACCCCCAGTATGACCTGTACAGTATGACGTGTAAGTATATACACCTGAACCCCCAGTATGACCTGTACAGTATGACGTGTAAGTATACACACCTGATTTCCCAGTATGACATGTACAGTATGACGTGTAAGTATATATACACCTGATTCCCCAGTATGACCTGTACAGTATGATATGTAAGTATATATATACCTTAACCCCCAGTATGACCTGTACAGTATGATGTGTAAGTATATATACACCTGATTCCCCAGTATGACCTGTACAATATGACGTATAAGTATATACACCTGATTCCCAAGTATGACCTGTACAGTATGACCTGTATAGTATACAACAGAACGTTAACCTCCAGAATAGCAGACAGTACATGTAAGAGGCCAGTCCTGAACTCCTAGTACAGTATATCAATCTAAGAAGATTAGTTCATCAATAAACCATAGGATCAGTGAGTCTGTGTCTATATGCTGTAGGTAATCAGCTTCCTTGTAAGGTGTAAATTTTATACCTATATATATCTATAAACACTTCCCACATCATGGCTCACACCCACATAAACAGTTCTCGTTCCTAGTCGAGTGTTCCAAGTTGGAATCCCTCGGTGGACATCAATACTCTGATTAGCTATTTTCTGATCTATATAATCCCACACAAGTAAAAATGGCCATGACTTATCGACATCTCATTGAATTACCGGTAAAGTGCCGTGATCAGACATTGCTGAACTCACTTCAGATCAATCCAATTAGTAACCTTTGTCAATTCACTTGTACAAATTTATGGGTCCAATCAAGACTTTTGATGGAAAAGGAATTTCCAGATCATGCTACACTACAGTGGTAATAATATACTTAATGACCAAGGTGAGAATGTGTTATCCAATTGATACTTTGACTGATAAAAAGTTGACAACACTACAGCTTAAACAGGAGATTTAGATTCGAGTCTGTGATCTAGATCAGCTACAGTCTTTGTATGTCCTATGGTATCCAGTGTGTGATGTTATACAATGCCATATAGTTATTACAGATCCTTTATGTTGTGTTGTTCACTTCTCATTTATTACCCTTGTGGTAGCGAAAGACAACTTTTCCTTTCTCCAAGATTAATCAATTGTTTCACAAGGGTGAAGCCTGAGGGGAAATAAAGTCTTACAACACAATATATATAAAATGTGTGTAGCATACGTACAACACTCGTACAACACTCGGCTGTGTATTTTCAGACATTGATTATATGGAACACCAAACAGTCCACCATTCACCTTTACATATGTATCTATGATGACATTGTTGCCTATGGAATTTTTGAAACAATACAGCCATGACCAATAAAGAGGTCACCAGGTTTTACCGGTACTATAATGGGATGCAAGTGTATTTTAAAATACTCAGGCATACAGTCCAATCAGATTTTACCATTAACAGATGTATAGTCCAATCAGATTTTACCATTTTCAGATATATAGTCAAATCAGATTTCACCATTATCAGATATACAGTCCAATCAGATTTTACCATTATCAGTTATACAATCCAATCAGATTTTATCATTATCAGATACATATAGTCAAATCAGATTTTACCATTTTCAGATATATAGTCAAATCAGATTTTACCATTATCAGATATACAGTCTAATCAGATTTTACCATTATCAGATATACAGTCCAATTCGATTTTTTAATTATCACAGATGTAAAGTCCAATCAGGTTTTACCAATATCAGATGTATAGTCCAATCAGGTTTTACCATTATCAGATGTACAGTCCAATCAGATTTTACCATTATCAGATGTATAGTCCAATCAGATTTTACTATTATCAGATGTATAGTCCAATCAGGTTTTACCATTATCAGATGTACAGTCTTATCAGATTTTACCATTATCAGATGTATAGTCAAATTAGATTCATATACTGGCATACATGCAAGAGCATTCTGAAAAGACTAATCTCTGACTAATCATAACTGATGCGGCACAGCCTCAGGTTAGACAACCAAAAAACATCACCCCTCAGGTTGGAGATTTCTCTATCACACCCTCAAGGTAGGGGAAGATTCTATTAATCCCTGATATAGGATACTCTATAAAGTATGTGTACAGCTACCCTATCATGTTGGAAGAAAACAGAACAAATTTTAGCATGACAAAGTTGGCAATCAGATAGGTATAAGACATGCTTTTCAGTGTAAACATGTTCATGATATTTAATTTTTGCAGTAACAAGTACAGGACATCTTGTGTGAAAATGAATACTTGACATTTTATTTGTGTGCGGATAAAAACAGGATATGCTACTATTACATACCTTGTCAACCGACACCTCTGAGAGGAATCGGATATCCAGGACATTTCCCATCTCATGTATCCATGTGTTTGCCAGGGATTCGATCTTGTCATGGGTCCACTCCAGCACATTCATGGGTGATCTGTAGTGATGTGCCCCCCAGGACAACACCTGGCCTATAACACTGGTGGTCGACACCCTGAAGATACTCACGACTCCCACAGAGGAAGAACCTTATCACAATCTGTTACCCTTGCCTAGGACACTCACCAAAATTCCTGATCCAGGGTTTTGGATATCCGGGCCTAAATCCTTGACACACAACTGAAACAATGACCTAAATTCCTAACCGTGTCTAGGGCACTCTAGCCTAAATCACTGAACCGTATCTAGTCCTGACCGTATCTAGGGCACTCTAGCCTAAATCACTGAACCGTGTCTAGGATACCCTTTTTGCAATCCTTGACAGGTGACATCAACATCCTGGCCAGGATCTCTGACCCTGTCCTAAATCCCTATCCCGTGTCTAGGACAACCTCGGCTGATGGTGTCCGACACAGAACAGCATGGGCAGACAGTCACATACCCCTTAGGTCACAGATGAGCGGAGATTGCCGTTCAATCAATGTAGCATCGGTTGTGATTAGTCAGAGATACCAGGAGAATTGAAGTCAGCATGGGTAGATATCTACCATGTGTCTTAACAGTCATTCACCAATTATTAATGGATAAAGGAATGAAGGGATCGATTAACACTGTTTGTTGACAGGTAATGATACACGCTTGTACACACATCAGCTGACTCCGAGTCACAATCCACACACGTGGCCCCTAACTCACATTACTCAACTATTTGTACAAATGCTCAAGGAGCTAATTAAATTGATTACACAGTAACCTAGACCCGTAGTCTGTATATTTACATTACAAATTATTCAAACGTTTTTAAAGTTACAGTAGAACTATTTCCTGTAAATCAATATGTGAGGAAGTCCACATTTGCTTAATACTTCACTTGAACTTGAGTTGGCTGCAGATTACAGATTACCTTTCTCTACTCCGTAATTGATCCGGAATACCTCTGTTACAATGTTCCAATTACTTGTCAATGTGGATGTGAGAAAGCCGTTTCTGAGTTACATATCGCCACCTGTTCAGCAACTTAGTTCCTTTCTAACAGTTCATTTGCCGATTTACAATACCAAATTATCCCACTTGTCAGTTCAACTTCAACCAACTCTTCTGGGAATATCCCGATCTGGTTTTGCACATCAAATTCTGTCGGTCTTTTTGTTGTGTTGTTGAGTAAATGACAGGAGGTGCATGAGCTCCAATTCTGAGTATGTTACAGAGTGTGTTAACATTTCCTTAATATTACGTCACACCTAAATAATGTACCATATCACAATCGGTCACGTTAGCTAACAGTTGATTACTTTGACTGGCTATTTCAAGCTAACTAATTCTGATGATTGATGGCCTGCAGGAGTTCTTCTATCCCCTATTTCATGTGGTGTTGAAGAATTTATTATTGTGACAAGATAGATGAATCTTGAAATAACTAACTAAATAGCACTTGCTAAAATATCATTCTTCTCGTTTGAAAATTTTGATTAATATTAAAACTGCACACATTAGATATTTGGAATAATTTAATCCATAACTCCTGGGAGAACCGACACACAAGGCAAAGCACTGATTTCACAGACACCGAGTTCTCTCTAGTTTCAACATAGATCTAACGTTATGAACCCCAGAGGATCTACCGCTGCCTTAGCCTCTAAAATCCACAGCAAAACATCAATTCTGACGTACATGCAGTAAATTATCATTTAGCTTCCGAGTGGAGCGCTGCATGCCAAATCGTGGAGAATGCTTCCGATGGGGATGCTACACGGTACGTAAAACTGGCACATTTCTCCATTAGTGGTGCACATTGCTGTAAACTACAGAGATAGGGAAACCTGACCAGGAATCGCCGGGTCGACTCTTCCACACTGCCTTCGGTAAAACACTTAGCCCCAAGTCTGTTACAACAGCGGAGGCCCCGTCCTCGTGCGATTGTTTGTTTCGTAGAGTGGGTTTTCTCTATTGATTGCCAGGTCCCCACACTACCCATTGATTTTACTTGGTTGTGAGCAAAAAGAAATCTTATTGAATCCGACTCTACGTGTTACAGGATCACGCTGCCATCCGTAGCAGCATTGCTGTTCATCCACGCTGAAATATTGCTGAAAGACTACTGTAATAGTGGTGGGGGTGGAGTTCCCCAGACCTGCTCCTTAAACTAAATACCAGATAAATAGTTAGTATACACCAATAGCCTAAGCAGCTTACCCCAGTGTTATTCTACACCAATAGAAAGGCTTCCCATCCTGATGTTAGGCATGAACTAACTCAGGCTTCTATAAATAATCAATCCTTTCTGGTCAGTCAAAGGCTACAAGAGACATTTGGTGACAATTTGTTTTTTCAAAAAATTTCATAAATGATTTAATTTGTTAAGGAATAGTTACAGAGATGTAGGCTTCAAGCTTGGGGATGTTACTGATCTGATCTTCACACAGTCTGATAGGCAGATACCCTAATGTCCTCACACACGGTCGAACATCGCTAATATACGCTCATCCAGCATAGTAACTGGTCGGCTCCAGGAAGGAAACACTTCTTTTTATCTACGAGATTGATGACAGAAATTCATTGTTAACATCGATCTTCCATATTTCTGATTTGTTCGTTCCTAGAACTCCGGAGATGCTTGTTAGTATGCGTCTTTGAGTAGCAGGACCAGTACAGACATATACAGCTCTAAGAAGACACACACAGGAATTGGCCCATAAAATGTGTTGTATAGACATTGATACAACAGACCAGACAGGCTCCGTGTACTTCACTACTTTGAATGTAGAATGATGATCAAACATAAAGATCGATCAGAAAACTGAAAACTTTATCAATCACACTTATAGCAACATTCCACAAAGTGGCTTAATTACCATGTTACTAAGTCCACGAATACTTCAAATACCTTAATTAGTACTGCAGTCTTTAATGTAATTTGAGTGGTTTTACCTATATGGTAGTCTTCAAAGCTATATGGGTTGTTCTGTATAGGTCTGCTGTGAATGTAGGTCTGCTGTTTATGTAGGTTTTATGAATTTACTTTCTGTTAAGGTATTTCACTATGTACGAAGATGTGCTATTGTTTATGTAGATTTTTTATAAATGTGGTTTTGATGTAATTTTGATGTTAATGTAGTTTTTATATTTGTGTAGGTTTAATGCTAATGTAATATTGAAGTTTATGTAGTTTTGGAGTTTATGTAGATTTGATGTTATGCAGATTTGATGTTTATGTAGATTTGATGTTAATGTAGTTTTGATGTTTATGTAGTATTTATGTTTATGAAGATTTTATCTTTATGTAGATTTTAAGTTATGCAGATTTGATGTTTTGTAGTTTTGATGTTTAAGTAGATTTTATGTTTATGTAGATGTAGTTTTGATGTTTATGTAGTTTTGATGTTTATGTAGTTTTGATGTTTATGTAGTATTTATGATTATGTCGATTTGATGTTATGCAGATTTGATGTTTAAGTAGTTTTTATGTTTAAGTAGATTTGATGTTTATGTAGTTTTAATAATTATGTAGTTTTGATGTTTATGTAGTTTTATGTTTATGTAGTATTTATATTTATGTAATGTTTATGTAGTTTTGATGTTTATGTAGTTTTCATGTTTATGTAGATTGATGTTTATGTAGTTTTCATGTTTATGTAGATTGATGTTTATGTAGTTTTCATGTTTATGTAGATTGATGTTTATGTAGTTTTCATGTTTATGTAGATTGATGTTTATGTAGTTTTCATGTTTATGTAGATTGATGTTTATGTAGTTTTCATGTTTATGTAGATTGATGTTTATGTAGTTTTCATGTTTATGTAGATTGATGTTTATGTAGTTTTCATGTTTATGTAGATTGATGTTTATGTAGTTTTCATGTTTATGTAGATTGATGTTTATGTAGTTTTCATGTTTATGTAGATTGATGTTTATGTAGTTTTCATGTTTATGTAGATTGATGTTTATGTAGTTTTCATGTTTATGTAGATTGATGTTTATGTAGTTTTCATGTTTATGTAGATTGATGTTTATGTAGTTTTCATGTTTATGTAGATTGATGTTTATGTAGTTTTCATGTTTATGTAGATTGATGTTTATGTAGTTTTCATGTTTATGTAGATTGATGTTTATGTAGTTTTGATGTTTATGTAGATTGATGTTTATGTAGTTTTCATGTTTATGTAGATTGATGTTTATGTAGTTTTCATGTTTATGTAGTTTTCATGTTTATGTAGATTGATGTTTATGTAGTTTTCATGTTTATGTAGATTGATGTTTATGTAGTTTTCATGTTTATGTAGATTGATGTTTATGTAGTTTTCATGTTTATGTAGATTGATGTTTATGTAGTTTTCATGTTTATGTAGATTGATGTTTATGTAGTTTTCATGTTTATGTAGATTGATGTTTATGTAGTTTTCATGTTTATGTAGATTGATGTTTATGTAGTTTTCATGTTTATGTAGATTGATGTTTATGTAGTTTTCATGTTTATGTAGATTGATGTTTATGTAGTTTTCATGTTTATGTAGAAAACTACATGTTTATGTAGATTGATGTTTATGTAGTTTTTATGTTTATGTAGATTGATGTTTATGTAGTTTTCATGTTTATGTAGATTGATGTTTATGTAGTTTTCATGTTTATGTAGTTTTGATGTTTATGTAGATTGATGTTTATGTAGATTGATGTTTATGTAGTTTTCATGTTTATGTAGATTGATGTTTATGTAGATTTGATGTTGAAGAAGTATTTATGTTTGTGTAGTTTTAACATTTACATGGTTTTGAAGTTTACGTAGATTTTATGTTTGTGTAATTTTAATATCTATGTAGATTTGATGTTAATGTAGTTTTCATGTTTATGTAGATTTTATGTTTCTGTAGTTGTGATGTAGATTGTAATTGTTTGTGTACAATAGACATTTGTGTTGGATTGTTGTTTGCTTTCAATACTTCGGTATGGTGATATTTGTGTAGACTTGCTGTTATTCTAGACTTTCAATACTTCGGTTTGTGTAGACTTGCTGTTATTCTAGACTTTCAATACTTCGGTAGGGTGATATTTGTGTAGACTTGCTGTTATTCTAGAGTTTCAATACTTTGGTTTGTGTAGACTTGCTGTTATTCTAGACTTTCAATACTTTGGTTTGTTTAGACTTGCTGTTATTCTAGACTTTCAATACTTCGGTAGGGTGATATTTGTGTAGACTTGCTGTTTTTCTAGACTTTCAATACTTCGGTATGGTGATATTTGTGTAGACTTGCTGTTATTCTAGTCTTTCAATACTTCGGTAGGGTGATATTTGTATAGACTTGCTGTTATTCTAGACTTTCAATACTTTGGTTTGTTTAGACTTGCTGTTATTCTAGACTTTCAATACTTCGGTATGGTGATATTTGAGTAGACTTGCTGTTATTCTAGACTTTCAATACTTCGGTTTGTGTAGACTTGCTGTTCTTCTAGACTTTCAATACTTCGGTAGGGTGATATTTGTATAGACTTGCTGTTATTCTAGCCTTTCAATACTTTGGCTTGTGTAGACTTGCTGATATTCTAGACTTTCAATACTTAGGTTTGTGTAGACTTGCTGTTCTTCTAGACTTTCAATACTTCGGTAGGGTGCTATTTGTGTAGACTTGCTGTTTATGAAATTATTGCTTGTTATTTGTGAAGTCATGATCATGTCCATTGAATATGTTTGTTGTTTGCTGTCACATGCTGGAGCCTTGCATTTCAATATCAAAAACAGCAATATTG